AAGGATGCTTGAATTTGATGTGTTCAGGCAGCGAGTATTTGTATCGCTAAAAAAAAAATTTTGTGCCATCAGTTTTTGCGTTCTTTCAAAGTATACTTAGGGACAGAGAACTGAAATGAGGAAAAGAGCCGTTCCATGGAAGGTTCTGAAGACTGGTTCACACGTGCGATGCAAATGCAAACGCTAAAGCAAACGCAAATAGAAATGCAAGCAAGTTCACACGGCCAACGCAAACGCAAGGAAAGAGAGATACGCAAGCGCAGTAGAAGTATTTTTCCAAGATGGTCGACAATGATTGATCTTTTGCCGATTCACGTGTGGGAAGCAAACACAAATGCAAGCTCGAGAAAATGAAAATTTGTTTGTTCCTTGCGTTGACGCTTGCGTTTGCATGTGCATTTGCGTTGGGGTGGTTCACATGAGCAATTCCTTGCATTTGCATTTGCGTTTGCGTTCGCTGAGGTTCTTCTTGTGTCGTTGATTGACCGAGGGAGGTGTGGGTACTAATCCTTTTACCCTCTTAGGTAATTAATTCAACTTTTCATGTGTGCCATCAGTTTCTTGCGTTCTTCCATAGTATAATTGGGGACGGATAGCTGAGATGAAGCAAAGAGCCGAGCTTCTTTTTGTAAAAGTGGCGACATTAAGGTTCAAGTTACATTAAGCAATACCCTGTTATTTCATTCAGACCGAAGAAACTGAACTATGTTGTTATCGTACCTGACAATCCTGGTAACTGGTTGTGATAAAAGTTGCAATTCTTATCTAAGCTGACTAGCCCAATCCGAATCAAGTAACACCTTGCCGCAAGAGCTGCCATGATTAATGACGTCTCAAGTTGACACACAGCCTCCTGCAATATATATAAGATAAATGAATAAAGAGGGTTAGTTTATAAAGAAACTGTGGTGCTGCGTCGATGGGAGAGTATAACAGGGTAATTTAGTGTTATCGACTGAGTTGAAAACGTAAATTGGCCACCGTAAAGAGTTTAAAGGCTGACGTTTCGAGCGTTAGCCCTTCGTCAGAGTGATGGGAGGAATTTTGGGTTTTGTGTGGGTTTATATGCAGAAAATGGAGCTACGCTATTGGTGGGAAGAATGAATTAGTTGAATGAAAAGCGTTTGTTGATACCGTGGGGATTAAGGGTGCCGATTTAGAAGATAAATTTTTGCTCCAGAGTTTTGCGGCTTTCCGAACTGCCCAGATGTAGGAAGAGGCCGCAAATCGCCATATGCTGTTCAGAATGATCTGGGGGATTAAAGTGTCTCGCGACTGGTTTGAATGCGTCCTTGTCATTTCTTTCTCCGTGGCGAAGGTGTCCTCGGAATCGGTCACTTAGTCTTCTTCCTGTTTCACAAATGTATAACTTTTTGCAACAAGTTCAAATTATGCAGTAAATGACATTGCTTAATTAATTGGCGGAGTTGCACGTACAGTGATCAGTGATCTTAATGGATCTCTTGGGTCCCGAAATTTTCTCTATCTCATCCAAAACATAAACTATTGGAAGGCAAGAACGAAAGAAATTACTTGTAGTGGCAAACACCTTCGTTGCTTCTCTTAGAATTGGATTTCTGATCGAGGTTTTTGCTAGTCCTCAATATGAACAGTAAGAGAAATTATTGAACGAACATCAACCTAGTTATGATTATATTTACCTGGGAAAAGTCGCCTTCTACAACGGTGTATGAGTAAACAATTCATCTCCTTAACCCCTCAGATTCAACAACATCAACATAGTGTCTTCCGCACAATATCAAGACACTCCGAGGAAGATTGGTAACAAAAGACAGTATCGGTCCATGAGGAAAGTTTGATGAAGCACTCAATTTACAGACCATTTGTAACATATTATATTAAGCGGAAGAGAGATTTGAGATATTAGTGCGCAGCTCTGTGATATCGGCCCTGATATTCTTATCGTAAGGGTATGACCTAAGGTCTACACTCGATAGAAGTTTATAATTATGTTCATTTAGTTAGTGCATATTCTGTTTGTCAAGAACATCAACGACGTAAATTTAAAACCAGTGCAGATATTTCCTCGTGAGTCTTTCGCTTTCGAGTCTCCTTTTCTTCTTTTCATTAATGTATTATATAGTTTGCAGTTGTATATATATATATATATATATATATATATA